ATGAAGTGAATAGGTTGACCTCTGCTCTAGGCCCACTCTGCACAGTGTAGCAACCTGTCCTGCTGTGAAAATGCATTGCGTCTGGGGGGAGTCGCATCGACCCGTCTGCTCACACACAATACGTCTGCTTTATTAAGTCGCCAGCCCTACCCCACAGCGCCTGTGCTGCTCCTGTATTGACCTGTAGGCTTTTCCCAAGGCCTGGGACATAATGATACCCAGAGATCGGAGACGCTAGCTTTTTGTTTGGGCCCTTGTTTGTCCTCCTAAAGCTGATCGATAGATATAGCAAGGTTGGCTATGCATGCTTTTCCCCAGTGTTTGTCATCTTAAGCTAAGACCTTTGTGAGTCTTGGTGCTCCTGCTTTCCAAATAAATGATAAATATCAGTAGGAGTTTTATAAATGTTTTTCTTTTTCTAGTGAGTTATTTATTTCACACAAACTCTTTTTGGATAGGGTTCGTGGATCAATAGTCACACCTTCACCTTATAATAGTGTTTGTTGCATTTAGCATTTTCTATCAGAGAGAACAACAATCATGTTTTTAAATGATGTTTGCAGTTGGAAAAGTCAGTTATCCATTAATAGCTGCGTTACTTGCCGTTTCCCCCTCTGGTATTGTACAGGTCATAAAACTGAATCCGACTGCCATGGCCCTGAGAAACCTTATCTGCCAGACAGCTTAGTGCTGTGTAAATAACACTTATACAACCTCCCATTAGCTCATGAATATCAACGAAACCTAATCCTATTGATGTTTATGTAGCGTATCCTCATACAAGTAGATGAGCACGGCATTATCACAAATTAGTGAATTAAGGAGGACAAGATTGCTAATTGCACTGGGATGATTTAGGTAACAGAGAGGTTGTGCTCTACCCTGTCTACCTCTGTCTTAATGTACCTTCAGATCCCCCTGTACATGTGTCTATCTAGAAAATGTACCACACCATAAGTGTGAGTAAGACACAGAAGGTGAGTGAGAGTGATTGCTTTCTGACACACTGGGCTGTGGAGATGAGATTTCCTCATTGGTGGTCTTCCTTTGACACTGTATTTCAGATCTGACGAGGCTTTTTATAGGCTTTTCTTTTAGACTTTTCTTCCGCCAGCCACTGCTGTCTAAACTGTCACTGTAGATGTGTTTCTGTGCCTGATTAAGTTCCAAGCGTCAGAAGGAAAAAAGCAGGTGGTGGCAAATTTCGGAAAAAATAATCAAATACAAGTATATGCCATGTGTGTAATTTCCATACCAGTTCAAATTCATTTTACACATGCATGATGAAAAGTCCACATAAATTGCCAGCGTCACAAACGTTGGCTTGGGTTACTTGCATGCATGTTTAGGCTGCTTGTCGCATATGGAGAAGCAGGGAATTAAATGGCATTCCATCGAGGTCAGTCCCGCCAGCTCACCATTGATTCTCTGAACGCTTGAGAGGTCCACAAAATCTGGAAGTTCCACACAGCTATAATGTGATGATGTGGCCTTTTAGTCATAAAAGGCAATTATGGAGGGATGTCTCCCATGTCTATTACACACTCCCCTGCTCACTCCCAGCTTTTTCCAGCGCCATGGGTAGCTTATGGGAAGGATATCATAAAAAAATTATTCTTTATATAAAAATGGCTGTTCTCGCCTTCTTTTTTATGCGTTTCACCGATGCCTGCATTAATCTGGGAGTAGTCACACTGTTATGGTTCTGGAGTTGATTGTCTCAGCGTGCCTGGCACAGTCAGCTAGTCCTTAGCACAGCAGAGAGCTATCTCTCTGAACACTCCATCTCACAGGAAGCCTCCTATAACCATTTACAATAGCAACTTCTCCTGCAGCATGGCATTGTCACACTCCGTGTTGATTGTTAAGTGTAATCATAAAAGAAAATTCTACTTCTGTTTCAAACTTTGCTTTCATTGCTTAATTTTGTAGTTTTAACCATCAACCTGATAACATATTTCTCACTTTAACTATTGTAGACACAGGAACACATTTTTAGTAAGTAACTTAGTGTTTTTCTTGAGATTATTTTTGTACATGTTTTGATTTAACAATTCACAGTAGAGAGTGACAAAGTATGGATAGTGAGTGAGGGACGAAATGGGAAAAGGGTCGCCAGATGGTTTTGAACTGTTGACATTGTAGTTGTGTGACCTTGACATTGACACAAGCTTGGATGTATTAAGAAGAACTGGAAACCCTGTTCTAATGAAGGCCGTTCACTTAGCGTGTACATGGTGTACACATGAATGGCAAGAAAATGTTTTGTTTTTAGTAACAGGCTGTGTTTGAAATTGCTATTCACACGAAGTAAGATGTATAAGTGAGTATGTAGTGCGTTCCAACTGCATAGTATGTGGATTTTGTGTACACAAGAAGTACCCTGATGTATACTAGATTAAGCAAGAATTTCTATGTATGCAGCATGAGTTACTGGACAACTGCCCTAAAATACATCACACCTCTTCAGGCTGTGCGCTGGCGATGAAATAATTACGAATGTTGGAGTGTGAACAAAAGCTACTCAGGACCCAGGACGTTAAGATACAGTTAAGATGATCATTGCTGGTAGGGCTGCAACTAACGACTATTTTGATAGTCGATTAATCTATTGATTATTGAAACGAATAATCGACTATTCAGATTACAAATCGCAAAATGACACAATGCCTCTCATTTAGCTATTAGCCTAAATTAAACCTGAGGTTGTTTTAGGCATGTGCTAATTAACAGTCAAGACAATGAAATAAATACTGCTTTCAAAAATGCATCTTTTAATGAACGTTTCTGCTGCAGCAGAAAGTTCCCTGAAATTACGTCCTGATAAGCAGCTGATCTGCTGTTTAGTGACTGAGCAGCTTTCACACCAGTACTGCAACACCCCGGGACAAACTGACACTGTATACAAAGAAAGGAATAACGGCATGCATTACATTTAACGAATTTACAAGAGGGGATCAATAATAACGATTTTGTAGTAGACAGTGTTTTACAATATTTATATAGTTTCCCCTAACTCAACAACTCACAAAACTCTGTGATGTTTTTAAGGGAGTTTGGGGCGGATTACCCGCCGCCTCACGCATAGACAGAGGAACAGTTTTCTCTTCTTTAGAAAAAATGAAATTGTCCGGTGTTGTCTAATCTTGCGCACTCGGCAGCAACACGTTCTCCAGCTGGGAACGTCGCCATGAGCGATGCATCAATTGTGATTGTAAAGTCAAGGCACATCTGGAATGTAAACGCGGCCGTTGTCTATCATAATTATGTGCTACTCACAGCACCATTACTGTAACAATCAATCAAATTGACCAACTGTATAGAAAACGTTTCAGCTCATAACGTGAAGCAACACGGCTTTAACGTGAAGCTAGCTCGCTAACTAGCTTACCGAGACGAGTCTTCATCATCCACAGAGACACGACGTTACGCGCCTCCTCTTCAGATGCTCCGGTGTTTCCAGGAGAGCTCAGCTTTGCTGCAGTTCATGATCTGTCTGGCTGAGTGAAGAGTTAAGTGCTGCCACATTCTGGAGGCTTTAGGTTGTGAAGGTGTTACTGCAGCTCTGATGTTGTTTTAGATTCGAATCGATTATTAAATTCGTTGGCAACGAATTTAAAAATGTATTTTTGTCGACTACGTCGATTAGTTGTTGCACCCCTAATTGCTGGAGCTCACAAATATAATGACCTGTAGAAGAAAAATGTTAAAACAATTTCTTTTATTTTTAATTGTGGATAATGTTAGATGGGATGTAATGGTAATGTGATTAATACAGTCATGTGATGCAGAGCATACATTTTGTTAATTTAGTACACAGTATGCAGTACTGATTGAGTATACAGTACGTTAGTATGCATTTTCAACACAGTCAGTTTAATGTGTTTAACAGACAGGATTTTACAATTCTGGAAAGTTACCACGGCAGCTACTGTTTTATCTTTTGTTGTGACATTGCTAAGTAAACTGTAATACTCTGTTCATGTGACATGTGCGAAGTAATCCACCAAGAATGTGGTCTTGCATGTATTTTATTGCAAAAGTTAAGCCTGGTTCAACTTTTTTGCATTGGCACCCCACCACGCAGATGGGTGGAAGTGCCAACTGGCTCGATTCAAATGAATGAGAAGGCTGCGCTTTTTTGGTCAGACGAAACACAAGCATCACACTGATTTAAAACAAGTCAAATACAAGTTAATATAAACGTACACATGTCCTCAAGATCATGTATGTGGCTATTTTTTATGTGTATGTATTTACATATACATATAAAAAAGTTTTTACCGATGCTTAACTACGGTCAGGGATGGGCAAAGATGCATCAAAATGTATTTTTAGATAACATACTAAATACCCTTATTTTAAGGGTATCAAGACAAACTACAAAATGCAGTAACCGTGCCATGAATCAGAATATCAGTATCAGTATTTTTGTATTTCCAAAATACTAAAAATCACTTTGCAAACCTTCTATCTGTCAACTTATTTAATCATCCCTTCACCACTACACTGACTCAGTTGACTGAGTGGACAGTGTTTGAGAGCAACAGCTTTTCTCTGGCTAATGCATCATACGATAAATCTGACATGCAACCAGTTAACAGATCAAGTATCCAAGTATCCTGTGATCACCCAGATGAAGGTAAGTAATAGGGCTGGACAATAAAACAATAACAATAATTATCACAATATAATTTTTTTCAATAACAATATAATAAATGTTCAATAAATATTCAATAAATGTTTTCACTTAAATCTTACATGAATTAGAACTTAATTTTTTTTATTAAGATGTTTATTTTCTGAGGAAAAAGGACTGAAAAAAGCTTTTTCTGAATTTGTTCAAGATTTTATCATTATTGTTTTGAATGTTCTACCTCAGATTTGTGAAGTGATCCACTGTTTGGCAAGTGTTGACCATAAAGAAGAGTTTAAACCACAATTAACCATCAGATTTCTTCAACTTTCACTCAGGAACAAAAATCAGCCTTCAAATTCGAAAGAAATAATGATAGGATACTTATTGTGATAATTATTTATATCGAAAGATATCAAACTTTTTATCGTTTTATCGTTATTTTTGGCCATATCGCCAAAAAATATAGTAACTAAGTAACAGTATAATGTTTAATAGAGTTTGCAAATGACTCATAATTGTATCCTAATTTAGTATCCTGTATCCAAATTTGGTGTTTGGTAGTGAAGGGCCAGTTTTGCATCAGCATCACTGACTTGACGAGAAGTTGTGAGCTACAACAAACACGAGTGGATGGGTTGACAACCTGCTGTTTAATGGTGTTGCAGCACAACATTGTTAATGACAATAAGACAAATGTGTGTGCATTTAACAAGTTACACCATCTTGTGACATTATATGGTAATGTTGTACAACAACTCATGCTGGTGCATAAAATGTTACCAATAGCAATGTTTCCCCACACTACAAAAATGAGACACCAAGGGGTGGTACATGACTGAAAAAGCATTTTGACACAGTTTCACCTGAAAGCTGTAGTGTGTGCTGAATGCTGTTCTCTGAACAGGCTTCACTCCCTTCTTCAACCCACCTTCTCATTACAGAGTAAGTGGTCCCAGGACCCTGTAAATTGGGAAGTAAGATGAAATGAATTAAAGGTTTGCAGAGAAAAATGTAGAATCTTGTGCCCCAGGTCTCTCCATTTTTCTCATACCCTTTTTCCTCTGGCTGCCTGAAAATTTGGGGAAGGTGGAAATAACTCAGCATAGCGGAGGTCAGCCCTTCCATTAAGTCTGGAGCAGAGCAGCCACTGGCTCTGGTTACTGATGGCTCTGTGCGTGGTGGTATCAGAGAGAGAGGGCGTGTGCATATATGTGCGTGTGTGTGTGTGTGTGTGTGTGTGAGAGCTTGCATCAGTGTTTGTGTCAGCAGTTGTTCAGGTGTATCCATTCTGGATGCCTGCACTACTGTCATACAGCAATGTTAGAAATTTAAGAGCAAATACAAGTTGTCACCAGGATCTGCAGCGCACTGACCGTAGCACCATCTGCATTTCTGGCACTCTGAAACCCCCCCATGTATTTTACATACAATTAGCAATTCTTCAGAAGAGAAGCCAGGAGGAAGTATTTATTATTCTTTTCTTCTCGTCCTGCCAGCCCTCAGAGTCAACTACAATACTTTTGTAGACACACACAGATGTTGTACAGACAAGTTTAGATTTTTAATGGAACCTGTGAAAAGCAGGACTTGTGCAGCACTCCCTCAGTCCCCCAGCAAGAGAATTCACATTTCCTCCTTCAGACTCTCTTCTTCGTTCCCTCTTTGTTTGTCTCCCACCTCGCTCACTCAGGCCTCCTTGTTAGTCTCCAGGTGAATGGAATGCATACAAAGAGTCATCTCAAAAGGAGGTGGCTGCAAAGAAAACAAGAAAAACAAACTGAACGCGCTGAAGCAAATAAATTTCCCTTCAAATGTACTGTAGATAAGATGATTCTTCTCTCCATTCTCTTACCACCCTCACTAGTGTTTAGTGGGTGGCTTTGCAGAATCTGAATGAATCTTTTTTGGTTGCCGTACCGTGATATAATTAGTTTTTGCATTATTTTAGTTTATTTACTTTCCAAAACAATTAAGAGGCTTAAATGGTTTTTAATATCAGATTTTATCATCATTGTATTTTCATACAAATAAATTACCATTTTCGTTTTAGATTAGAATTCATGACGTAATGGTAATTAATTGCATTTGGTAATAAAACCCATCTAGTCTCGATTCAGATTCAAATTGTAAGTCCATACCCCCCCTTTCTTTTCCTCCTTTTTTACCATAGGCAATACATTTAAATTTAACAATAAGAGATTTATTTCTTTCATTTCCACTTTACGAACATAATATTAGAATGTTCTCCCTCATACACTCCCACCCTCTCTTTCCCTTTGTGTGTACGTGTGTGTGTTGCTGTATTTGCATGCGTTCATGTGTGTGAGCCTGTGAAGAGGACACATGGTATTTCACCATGTCTGTCTTTGTGCCAGGTCGCCATGCTGTCCATTTTGGGTGGTTGGCATTTTTTGGAAAAACAGACACATACAGCAACCCACACACACACACACACACACACACACACACACACACACAAGTCAGGTCAAGTCAGTTTATTTTTATAGACCAATATTACATAAAATGTCTCAGTGGCCTTTACAGTATTGGTTTTTGACTGTAAACGCAAGGTAGAAATGGCAGAAAGTGCCAAAAAGGAAATTTAAAGAGTGATCTCCTATCTGCAGTTTGCTGGTAGAACAGGAGCAATTGGTAGGAAATTGGCAATTACAAAAATGGAATTGAAAGTTTGAACAGGTAAAGAAATACAAAATATTGGACTTCCAGCAATCCAGCAATATGATTATAATAGATCCAGTGCTAATGCAATACATCTAGTGAATGTAATAAAATGGTTCCAATTAAATAAGTCCAAATAAGTCCAGTAGTCTATTGGGTTTTAGAGACGGGAGAAGGAAGATTTATTAAAGCTTCCTCCTGGAGTAAATGTAAAAGGAGTATGCTTCACCATCATCCAGTACATGGGAAGCTTTTTAAGACCGTAACCAATAAACAATATATATCAGGCAAACCATTCCTGCTAAGTTTGTCTCAATGATTTTACTGATGGCTGCAGAGTCCAAACTCCCCGCAGCGCTTCCTGTCGGTCACTATTGGCAATGCTTTTGATTGGCTGCTCTGCCATCTGCCTTCCCACCTGCAACTGTGTCTTTATTTAGCAAGTTAGGGTGTGGTCCTCCTAATCCCCATTTGACTGGCAGCAGGTAAGGACCTCTCGTGGCTGGAAGTCCCTCCTGGCATGGCCTTTTATTGGCGATACCCTAACCTGCTGGAGTGCCAAATGCCAGCTCATTTTTTAAGTGGCAGATGTGTGTGTGTTTGCGTGTTTGTGTGTTTGTGTGTGTGTGTGTCACTTAATCCCCATTTGACTGGCAGCATGAAAGGGCCATTCCTAGCTGGTGCTCCCTCAAGGGATGCTCCCCATTGGCAGTTTGCCATCTGTCTGCTCACCTGTCCTCCATTCAAACACAGCAGATGGGGGTGTGGTCCTGAGAAAAACAGGATTAGGCTATTCCTGACTCGAGTGGTCCATGTGCACCCAACCATGTCTTATACCAGATGAATAGGTGACTATGGTTCCAGTCTCTCATGGGGCTTCATGTCTCTGCGGTGCTTTCAAAATGCACGAGCTGCTGCTTTAAAGTCAAGTTTCAGAATTTTAGATTGTTTGTATGCAGCACATTGGAGAAGTGACAGATTGTTTGATCTAATGCACAAACGGTCTGTGAAATGATTAAACTCTCTAAACCAGTTAGACCCAGCATTCCATTTAGAAACATCTCTTTCCTCTCAGAGATAGAATGAAAGCCTGTTGTTGCGATGCTCTCCAATCCCAAGCCCAAACATTTGTCTTCATCAAGTCCAGAGTGTCCAATAAGAGCTAATGTGATTGCACACATCATTATGTGTGGGGTGGGGGCAGATTTCATAGCTGTGTTTACCTCGTCTGCTCAATGACGGAGCAACTGGAATGATTCAATTACACCAATCAGATTGGATAATGATTTCGATGTGGGTAGCTTCTGCCTTGTGTTTCTTATCGCTTCCTGACATCATCTCCTCCCCCCACCAGCTTCCTACTTGCCTTTTTCCACTCTGTTGTCAACTCAGATTTTTTATTCATATTTTCTCAAAGCATTCCTACATGTATTATAATATGTAGTCCAGCATTAAACAATAGTGTATTTACCAAGCTTAAAAAACAGCATGCCTTAATTTATATACTGTTTTACTGACAAAGGAGATTTTGCACCTTCACTTTCAACTGCCCCGCTCCCTCTCTACAGTATGTCTGCATCTAGCTATCAGCAGCCTGCAGTAGTGGGTGTAATGTAGGTGCAGTCTTATTTTCTGGCTGTCATATTCACTCTTGGTTATGGGATGGTGACAGCTCTAAGTAATTACTGATCCCCCATAGCAGTTACCCAAGCCCCAAACTTCACTGCAGCAGACTAGCTCTCCTGAGCCTGAAGATAGAAAGACAGAGATGGAGGATCTGGAGGGCAGGCCCCATGGTCAGAACCATACATTTACATAATGGATGGCCATGCGCTTGCATCCATAGATGCCTGAACGAATGCATATATTCATAATGTACATCCGTACAGACAAAAGCACATCCGCAAGGGTGAAATTAACACTTTTGAGAGGATCTAAACAGATAATCCAATCTGAAAAAAGAGCATAGGAAAGAGGACAAATACCTACAACAAACAGTAATTGCACAAAGGATTTCCATAGCATTCCCTTTAATGAAAAAATAAAATGCTTTCTGTGGGTGGAACTGGCCTGCCATTATTTTTAAAAAGCAACCTACTTCAGACAACAAAACAAGATGATGTAATGTTCAAACTTCTAGCAGTAATTAAACCTCCCTATGAAGCACATCTGAAGATACAAATATTGCAATACAATTCCATTACTGTTCAGAAGTAGCGATTGCCCTTTGTAATTTGCAAGAAATAATTGCCTTTAATTATCATATTGTGTAAATGTGTTACTGTATAAATGGGAAATATTGTGTGTGTTTGTGTGAGTATTTTAATATGTGTATTTGAAGTGCAAACTGACCAAAGCCTTATTTAAAACTGGAAGAACAATCATACTACCTCTTGTCATTTAAATGCGCCCGTAATTTTTCAGAGCTTTACTACCGTTTACTGTTCTGTTCTGTCTCTTTGGTTTTTCCCCTCTTCTCTACTATCTATTGTCTTCATTTGTCCTCTGTCAATGTTGTTTATCAAAAGAACACTACACTTCCCGTATCTCTGGTTTACAACAACTACAATACATAACATAAACTGATTTCCTCCTGCCCGTATTGTTTCTTGAATATACAATGCTTGATAAGCCTGTTTGTTGTCTCACTGTCAGACTCCACCTACTAGCACCAGTGGATCTTGTTTTACCCGAGTTTTCATAATGGTGTGGTTAAACGCTTTCTTGCTGTCATCTTCTCTGTTATCTCTAACCTGCTCACTGTGTCCGTTGCTCCTTTCAGGACCATGCAGAGATTAACTCCACCATCCTGCGAAGCCAAACTAACACTGCACGCGTGGAGGGCCTCAGGCCGGGCACAGTCTACGTGGTACAGGTGCGGGCACGGACTGTGGCTGGTTTTGGCAAATACAGCAGCAAGATGTGCTTCCAAACCCTCACAGATGGTAAGGATCGCCGAGCCAGGAGAAACAGCTCTCTCTGTCTCTCTCTATCCTTTTTTGTCTCGCTTCCTCTCTTTTTCTCACACACACACATACACCCTAACTAAAAATCTTGTCGCTCTTTGTATTTGTTGTTGCATTATTATTAGTAGGTGAAACACGGGGAACCGTAATGTTTGATTGCACTTCTATTTCTACAGCTAAATGAATTTCCTTCACGGTCAGGTTTGGGTGTATGTGTGTGTGTGTGGGCGGGTGGGTGCTTTAAATATGTAGAACGCTGAGTGTCTTTTGTTTGTGCAACTAACTGTGCTTGATCCAAAATGCTTAGCTAATTGGTTTTTCACCCAGCCCTTCTGTTGCTGGAGAGCCGTCCCAGAATGCATAGCTGTGATTAGTAGTTGATGAGATTAATTTTTTGCCATTGGGCGAGGGGGTGGGGGACTAGATTGTTGGAGAGGGAAGAGGCTGAAGAGGAGCACCTGCTACACTGGCAAGGTGGTGGAACTATGTCTATTAGTGTAAGTGCAAGGAGGTGTGTGTACGGGGTTGGTAGTCACCAGTGAAATCTGCGCTAAAATTAACACAGCATGATTCAGTCTGGATAGATTAAACATTTGACTGGATATGTGTAAGATTCACAAGATTTGCCAAAGAACCTTGCTGATTTACTAGCCTTCTATGGACATGTGGCCATAGTTCATAATGTCTCAAAGATAGAAGTGACATTTCCACGTTGTCTTGTGGTAATGAGGGTGATAACGATGAATGAGATGTTGATGATCTTGAGGGAGGGAAGATGAGAAGGATAATAATAATGATGAAGGCCATCATTGGGGCTGCTTACCTGTGCAGAGCAGATGCAGAGGCACCATCATGGCCCCTTTACTCTCAATCACGGTCGCAAATGGTCTTTGCCTCAAACACATACACATGCGTGCACATTTGCGCACACGCTTCACACTCGCTCACATGAACACTGTTTGCGGCTCATCTGTTGGCTCCCTGCCATAGCACGACATTCGTCAAGGCAATTAGCAGCGGACGCTAGAGAACTGGTGACAATCACACCCACGCCTCCACCTTCTGCCCTACCGGTCTCCTCTCCCCCTGTCAAGCTGCTCTACTGTC